CGTACAGTGGTTTGTAAAAGCCTGGAGTCAGCAAGGACTCCAGATTCAGCTAGATTTAAAGCAAGAAGCAGAGCAAAGGTTCAAAATAAAAAATACTAATAAAAAAAAAAAAAAATCTGCTTGCTCAAAATTGTCATGAGCTTTCTAGTATCAGTGCAATGGGTCCAAAGTCACCGTGCCACCAGAATATCACAGAGAACGTCACATCTTTGCAGTCAGCCAAGTGGCCCTGGGCATTATGAGAATTCACGCTCATATCATGCACAGCGACAAGGCGTGTAATCATAGCAGGGCTAACATGAAGCCTTGGCCTCAGCTCCGTCAAAGGCAGATCTATGAACTCAGTAGAGTTTTGTTCTATCCTGAGATTTCTCCTACTTGATGGCATCATGGCAGCATTGCTATTAGTAGGCTACCTTTGCTGTGAGGAATGCACCAGTGACAATTTGTGCCAGTTTCAGGCAGCACCAAATACTTTGTCTTTTCTGTCCCATTCTTTCCAATTTTGCCCTTCCTTTCTGAGTGGCCTTGACCCTGACTTAAAGCACCAGTATTCCTGTGTCTATGGCCAAATTCATGTGCTTTCTCTGAATACTGGAAGATATATCCTACCGCCACCATCAGAGACGGTGTACTGGTTGAGAAGGACCACTGATCTGACTTACTTTTGCATTTCTTATATTCTGTGGTGGCAGGCAGAAGAGGCAGAATTTCTTTCATCTCAGTTGCTTTCAATCTATGGAGATTTTTGTTGTGTTCATAAAGGTGTATAATCTTTCCCCAAGATGTTGAAAAATTGAATGTCTTAATCTCAAGGGACTTCAGGAAAAAAAAAATAAATAGATTTTTAGGGGAGTTGCAAGTCACCACAGTGCTCACAGAAGGTGCAGTTTAGATGTCATGTGCTCTCTGGACTCTGTATGCTCTCCCTTCAGTCAGCATCTCTCACAGTACCTCATCAGTTCATCCTAGGAGAGGAAGTCCCACGCAGAAACTTCAGTTCAGAGAGTAGAAGAGGAATGCAAGTCAGACGACTCCACCCCTCAGGAACATTTCAGATCCAAAATATTTCAGATTTAATTGAGAGTGCTCCCATTTTTCAACCAAACAACCCAATCATTCCTGTGGAAACATCCTGTACATTTCCTCTCAACTCCTTTTCTCTGCAAGAAGCAAAGGACCACTACCTAATCTGGCTTGTCCTCTCAAGTAACCCACTCCCTTTATTTGAGGAACTATAATATGGGAATTATACTTAGTTATATCTCCAAGTGGCACTTTGCATTCCATCCTGATGCTATGCTAAGCAGTAAACTAAGGGCAAGGACTCACTTATCTGGCCTGCCCTCCAGACAGCAGGTTCCAAAACACTTAACTAGACAGAGGGACGTTATAGGTGGCTACATCTTGTTTGCATGGGAAACCTTTGTCTTAGTTTTTAATGGAGTGCTTGACTGCTTGAACTTGAACTGGCGTGCTGCAGATCTATGTGTTGTTTCCTTGTATGTGCTCTCCTGCATGAATAGAGAAAAAGTCTCTGTGTAGATATAGTCTGTCGTGCTTATCTGTAGGCATTTTTGTGCTGAAGGCTTCTATGGTGATTTTTATTCATGGTTACTGTTGGTGGGACTTGCTATTTCTCCTCATCTGTCAGCCCAGCCTTCTGTCATCAGTGCAAGATCTTCTCTCTCGACTCACCCATGCAGTTCAGCAGGTGCATGATCTTGGCTCCTTCTTCCCCACCAGAATATCCTACCTCAGTAGCCATTCTACTCTCATATCTCAGCCTTGTTTTCCTTGGCTTAGCTGGAGTCTCTCCTTAAGGAGATGCACCAGCACCTTCACTGCAGGATTCGCAACCTGTTTGCTTGACTGGTTCTTGAGAATCAGCCCTAAAACTAACAGTGTCCTGAACACTTTTAGGGTTAAATAATTATGGTTTTGAGAGCTTTGGGGTGAGTCAGTGGAAAAAAACGGCAGCTCTATGAAGGTTAAGACTGACTCATAATCCGAGAAGAGCCTAAGGAACTCCAAATCCAACTGCAGTTTAGGAAGGGGAATGTTAGAAAAGGCATTTGCATGCAATTGTGTCCTATTGCTCCAGCAAAGTGACCCCACCCTGTAGCGGAGAAAGATGTCTCACACTTAACAAATGGAAAGAGTATCCTGTCAGTCACCAACACTCTGCCAATTTCTCTGCATAATGGGAGGAAAAGTCCATGTCATACAGTCAGAGAGAGATGACTCTATTTCAATCCTGTTCACCCACTGTTCCTTTGGGATTGTTCTCCAGTGTTTTATTTAAAAAGCAGAGAGAGGTAAAGGAAGGGGAAAGTGAATGAATAGAGAGGGAGGCGTGTGCTTTAACTCACAAAGATTCAAAACTAAGCTATGAACATATATCCCGGGGGGGATGCATTTGATAGCATGTATATTCAGGGAGAGGTGCTGATGTTCTCAGGAAGTAGGTACACTGATATCACCTGAACTGACAGTGCTCTAAAGCAGTGCAAAAACCGGGCAGAAAGAGCAAAGGGAATAAAGGATTTGGTTTTCTCCTTTTCTTCTTCCTTTTTTCTTTACATTGAAAAGTAACATTTTCCCTCATTTTCCTTTCTGAATGCAAACAGAAGATGCATTTTAAAGGACTATTGTAGTCCTTTAGGGTGTCATGAAAGTAGGTTTTCAGTCTTTCAAGTACAGGGCTTTTTTGAAGGTCCTCAGAAATAATCAGCAAAAAAAAAAACTCCACTGAACTCATTTTTAAAGAAACATGAAAAAGAACATTAATCTAGGAAAGGAAGAAAGTTTAACCAGTGTTTAGCAAAGGCACAGCAGGCAGGTCTGTCATAATTTGGTATATACATAACAGTAAACAATAGTGGCAATAGCATTTGTTACATTCTGTGTATGAACCAAGGTAATCAGAAACAAGGATGACAAGTATTCGAAGGGATGGGAGCATCTGACTTAGATGCTGTGTTCAAGGTACCTGCTGCAGCTATATAACTTAGTTCAGTGATAGCAATAGTTTCACAGCTCATGGTACAGTGGAGGTATCCAGGTCAGTTCCCATCCAGCACTGTGAAACCCCCATTCTTTTTTGCAGTCAAAGAGAAGAAAGGGAGTTATTGCTCAGACCAGATGTGTTGGTAGCCAGTGTATAGTACTGAGAAACCAGCTTCTAGCAATGCTAAACACACACAAATGACCATTACTACAGAGAGGATCTCCTATGGCTGTATTTCCTCCCAGATCATCAAGGAAGGCACTGTGACAAGACAGGCCACCACCAGTGTCCAGGCCATCCAGGCAAATCAAGCCCTAGAGCAAGGGGAACTTTGCTAGGGCAACCTCAAAGCAGACAAGCAAGCCAGGGCTAAATTTTAGAGAGTTCTTCCAACTGAGGGAAACCTCACAGTTGCCAAGTTCTTACTGAGGAGATATGACCAGTCACCAAACCTAATTTATCCTTCTAAAGAATAATCTTTCTTGGGTAGGAGGGCTGCATAACAAAGCTAATCCTGAATTTGGACTAAGTGCCACTGATGGAGAAGCCAGCCTGCCCACTGTAGTTTGTGGAAACTGTATCCCAAGCAGTGCAAGGAATAGCTGCAGGTCTTTAAAGGAATACAATCTCATATACAGCCACAATGAAAGACAGGAGTGGAGAAGGTGGAGTCAGTGAGTAAATAAGGAAAACATTTATAGGACCTTACAAAGCTTTTTGTCACAGTTTGCATGAAAGACATCATGAAATATAATTGTGTTGTTCCTTGACAATGTTACCACACCCTGTACAAATTGTGACAGCATCAAACTTTACTTGAGTCACCTGGACCAAAATAACTTGACAGCCAACATTAATTAAATGCTTGATGCTGCTCTTCAGCAGCACTTCAGTATCATCCCTAGCAAGAGATAGAGCAACACAGCGCTGTGAAACTTTCTAGGAAGCAGTCTTTCAATGGCCACAGAGTGGGCCCAGCACTTTCCTGCCTGATTACTACCAAATTCCTGGAAGGAGAGGAAATATGCTCACTCACTTTGTGTGAATTGCCTGCACTCACTCTCACGGCTGAGATTTATTCCTTGTATTTCACATTTTTAGGGAAAAAGACAGCAGACTTGATAAAGTGTCACGAGAGCTATCTAAAGTACATTTCCCTCCCAAAAGCCTTGTCGTTCCAATGACATGTTCATCAATGATAATGAATCTTACAAAAGTAAAAGCTTGCAGGGTACAGAGGGAGGGGAAAAAAAAAAAAAAAAAAAAAAAAAGAATTTGCATTACAAGAGAATCTTACTGCAGTAATAAAATGAACTGCATGCCTCAAGTTTTAAAAAGGAAATGGGTACTTTTCTTTTCAAAATTAAGCGTCTCCCTCTACTCCAGAACACTTCGGTGGAGTTTCTGTTCCAGTTATTCTCCTTACATAGTGGAGCAGGCCATTGAGTACTGGGAGTCCCCCAATCCATTCTCTACCATTGCTCAGCACCTGATGTACCCAAGGAACACCCATTCTTCCACTCCGCACCACCTGTCCATGTCCCAGACCAGCTGGAGAAGGCTGTACTGCAAAAGGAAAAGAGATCAGGAAGACAAAATCTTTCCTGACCTCCGTGAATCCTGTGAACAGAAACTCTGCTTCCTGGAGTGTAGGCCTGCAGTATGTCGCTTTTATTTTACATAACCACACACCAGTTTAAGCAACCTATGTATATACCCAGGCTATTTTTAAAATGCTATAAAGCTAACTACCCCTGCTCTACATCTCCTCCCAAACTGGTTCCTTTACCTCCAGGCTTTCTTTAACTGCTTGAGCAACTCCCTTGCAGATTTTGACAAAGGTTTTAGCTATGTTTTTTCGTGACTACATGCTTCCAGAATGGATTTAAGATCAACCTGCTTTGTCACACGTAAATAACGCTTACAACAATGGTATTCTTTGATTTAGCCCTTCCCTTCATCATCTCCCTCTGCTCTTGTTCTCCTCCAGAGCTCTCTGCATTAGCGACACCACCTAGGAAGGACGCCAAGATGTTGGTACTACTGGCCGGTATCTTTGTGGTTCACATCGCCACCGTCATCATGCTCTTCGTCTCCACCATTGCCAATGTAAGTAGAGACCACCCCGGAGGAGAGACCTGGGGGCTGCTGCCACATTCTGCAACAGTAGCCCATCATGCAGGCTAGTGGGTGCTGAGGTCTGTAGATGAAAGACATCTGCTCGCAAGGAAGAGCACGATGCAGCGAGTTCAGGGCACGCTCAGCAAGCTGAATCGGGGTGGTATGGGGAGGCAGCGTGTGCTTGCCGTGCTCTGTGCTGCATCCCAGAACCGGCAGCACCTGAACGCTCCTCGTGCAAGCGAGAGGAGATCAGCAGCTGATGGCTTTGAAGCGGTGTTTATCATCCCATCTGGCTGGCAGGCTGTTACATAATTACGCGCTCTCCCGTGCCCGTCTGTTTGTATGATAACAGCCCGCTCCCGGGAGCCGCCATCCACACACCTCCTAACATTTCACCCCTTATCACCACCCGCCAAGGCCCGCGGCCACACCACAGCCGGGCCCTGGCCCCGCCGCCGCCCTCCATCTTGCGACGCCCCGCGCCGGGCCCCTCAGCCGCGGGGCGAGGCCGCCGCCATTTGCCGCCGCCATTTGCCGCCGTGCCCGGGGCGATGGTGACCCCTGGCGGCTCCGCGGGGCCGGGACTGTCCCCTCCCCTCCCCCGGTACGTGTCCCCCCCCACCACAACGGTGTCATCCGATTTCAGGTTTGGATGGTGGGCACCACCGCCACCGGAAAAGGCTCGTGGGGACTCTGGCTAATGTGCAATGGCACCTGCAGGCAGCTGGCAGTCAGCAGCAACGAAGCGGGTGAGTAACATCTGCCTTTTGGCTGTGGCAGGGATTTGCCAGACTCTGGCGCGCAATACCCAGGCAGAGTCCTGACCTCAGATCTGCTCCCTCTGTGTTCACAGCTTCCCTCAAAGCAGCACAAGCCTTTATGATCCTCTCAATCATTTTCTCCGTCATCGCCCTTGTCATGTTCATTGTCCAGCTGTTCACCCTAGAGAAAGGCAAACGTTTCTACATCACTGGAGCCATCATGCTGGTTTGCTGTAAGTATGCACGCCTTGAAATCGCTCTGCATGCTTCCTAGTGCCTCCACAAGCGCAAGCAGCCACATGTGTCTGCCACACATGGCCATCAGGGAAGTTGTCAGCCAGCTAGAGGTTTCCAGCGGACCAATTTTTGATAAAACAAAACATAAGGAAACTGGAGAGTGATATATACATATTTTTAATCTAATTTAGATAATGAAAATATTTCCAGGTTTTCATTAGAAATCCTCAGTAAATTTTGCAAAATACCTTTGGGGAAAAAATATATATATTAAAAAAAAAAAAAAGTACTTCAGGGGGCAGGGGAATAAACAGTTAGGCAGCTACTGCTCATAGGATCCAACATATAGTGCCAAACTGTCTGCAGATCTTATTGCTGATTCCCAGTTATCAACAGTTTATTCCACATGGCACCAAATAAGCAAGCCCCAAGTCATCATGTCTGCAAGAGAAACCCTCTAGAAATAAGCCTAATGGGCAGCAGCCCCCCTCTTGGATGACACAAGACATGCATAGCAGCCGCAGGGGACAACATGACTTCAGATGTCCTGCAGCAATGCTAGTTTCTGTGCATTTTCCAACTCTCTGTTTTCCCTTCCTTCCCACAGGGTTGTGCATCCTGATTGGAGCCTCCATTTACACAGCTCGGTTCACAGGAATGCGGGCAGGGTTCGTAAATCCTCACCACGGCTACAGCTTCATATTGGCCTGGATCTGCTTTTGCTTCAGTTTCATCATTGGCATCCTCTACCTGGTTCTTAGGAAAAAATAAGGCTGATGGGAGTACTGGGGAGAGGGTTGGCTGCTGGAGACAGGGAAGAATTGCTCTGCTGAGAGAACTGTTGGGCCAATAGGAAAAAAAAAAAAAAAAAAAAAGAAAAGAAAAGAAAAGAAACAGCCACCATCATCACTTCTGCCACCACTACAGAGTAATACCTAACAAAACCAGAATCCTCAGAAACTCATTCACCAAACAGAGGGAAAAACAGCTCCAACTGATCTCTCACTCCTGGGGCTGCTGCACCAGAAATCTGCAAATGACCCAGACAGCTGTTCCCCCTTTCTGCACAGTTACGCCATACCTTCACAAACATTCAAGACCAGCAGTGATGACTGAAGAGCACCACAAAAACAAGGGCTACATCTTTTTCCCTGTCTAGAGCCCTTCCCACTTACCTTTCAGTGTGCCTTGTGGGTTGGGCAACGAGGCTTACAACTCCTTTTTTTGTCTATTGAAACAAATGGTATGGGCCTTTTGTTACAGTTTTATATATATATATATATATATATGCACATATAAGAAGGTTAAAGACATTAAATTGAGAAACAACCCAATAGAAATCAGATTAAATTAGTATTAAAAATGCTACATGAACACTGCAGCAATATTTTTTTTTCTGTTCTGTTTCCTATCTGACATTCCCACAGTTGAATCAAATACAGTTAGGAAGGCCAAATATACAGACATGGATGATGGATAGAGAGAGAGAAAAAGAGGAGGGGGGGAAGGTACGTAGGGGTTCCTAATTACAGAGGATGCAGTTGCTCAATGATGCATATGCAGGGAGGGAATCATCTGAGTGTGTGTCTACATTTAAATCTTCTATTTAGCTCTAGAACATAGCAACAACACTGGAACATCACTTTTTCTTTTTTTTTTTTTTTTAAGTCCTTATCTGTAGGCAGGTGGTTTTGTTTGTTTGTTTGTTTGTTTTTCCACATCGTCATCCAGGACATAGTATTAATTGAGAGCCCCAACTTGTGACAAAACTTGTCACAAAAGCAGATGCTACCTGAAAAGTATTCCCTAATGAGAGACTTGGAGAGATGAGACAGGACTTCTGTGTTCTGTTCCTTGCTGCACAATCTTAGGCCAGTCACTTAAACCGGTGCTTTCCATCTGCCTATACCTACCTCCCAGGGTTGCTGAGATATTTTGAGTCCACTCTGTAATACAAGGTCCCCATGTGAAAAGCTGACATGGGTAAGTCAGGCATTGTTACTGCTGCAACCCACACGTTTCTGTCAGTTTGAAGAATCTCAGTTGCAAGCTGAATTTGTAAGGGACAAGAGGTCAAAACTTCCTGTGACTCCATCCATACCTAAAAGGCAGAGTATCTAAAAATGTATAGGTGCAGATTGTGCATGGGCCCTATTTACCTCTCCCCACGCCCTACCTCCAGCCCCCCTTCTGTTACATTTTCTTCTTATGTAGACTTTATCAATTTGGTGGATATATTCTATTACTGTACGTTGCTGTTTCATTAACAAAGGTTATTTCATATATAGTCATTGTAAATACTTTGAAATGCATATTTTTAACTTTAAGGGTATAAAAATAAAAAATCTGATTCCCTTTATAATAAAGAGTTTTGCTTTGGTGCTTTTTCATTAGTATTTCAGATACTTGTTAACAGGTATTCATTGTACTCAGTGAATCAAAGCTCATTCCTTTAGGAAGATGCAGAACAACCATGTTCTCTTTTTTTTTTGTCAGTCTAAAAGATCTCCCTTTTTGGAGGGGAGGAGGAAGCAAAACAACTGTTAGAGTTCTTGTTTGAGGCTCTCCACAAGCTCAAGCAGATAGTGTGGGCAGTGGCAACACGCAGTCCTATAGCAGGCTTTGCTTCACATCCAGGAGAGCTGGCAGTGTACTTTCTCACTCTGGCTGAATCTCATATCTGTGTAAACTGGTGCCTAAGGTGCTGCAACATTTATTATGTCTAAGACCAACCCTCAGTACAAGTGATTCCTAAAGCAGTATCACCAAGGTGTTTGCCTGGGCCACTGGAGTTGGTAGAGCTCCTTAGCTTTGTCTGATCAAACACAGTAGTGGCTCAAGAGCTTGAACAAAGAGTCCAAAGACCAGGGCACAGGCAGGTCTCACCAAACCCTGAGCACAATCCTGTAAGCTCTGGGGTGAGACCTATCAGGAAACAGCTTGGTAGGATTACTTTTTTTTTTTTTTTTTAATCAATTAAGCCACCTTAGGGAAATCTAAAATGCAGGCTAATCAAGGGCAGAACCATGACACGATACCTGTAGAAGGTGAAATTTCATCACAGAAGGGCATCATATGCAGATGGATGTGGGAAGGCTCATGGTGTGCAGTGGGTGGATATTTGTCTTGTCTCAGGAGGTACCAGAAATCTTGCTGTGTCTCATCCTCTCGGCACTCCTAGAAGTGCAGGGTAAGCAAAGACTGGTCGGGCACTGGGGGATGAGGGTCCTCTGGCTACAGGTGGGGAATACAGGGAATGCTAGCCAGAGAGCTCTGCAGGAGTGCTTCCACTGCTAGGCTGGTATCTGTGCCCTGTTTCTAGCATGGCCCAGATCACACCTGACAATATCACACCTAACAGGATGACAAGACAATCCCAACTTTGTTGGGATGACCAGGACAGGTCACAGACAATGGTCTCGATTTTTGAACACTAGTCTCCTTTTGCCTCGCTTCATACTATTGTTGTTGGCAGCTCAGCAAGGGTATGAATGCTACTTGATACTCTGGGCAGCTTGGTTTGCCTGAAAACCCCCCTGGGCTTTTAGAGAATTGGTGCTCTGATCTATAGGCAGTAAAAATCACTGGATCTTCTGGCATCTGGCAAACTTTGTCAACCCAGTCCCTTAAGTATAACCCATCCCAACTGAGACAGTCACACCTGGTAGGTCTCACCACCAGCTTCTCAGTCCTGTTACATTAGGAGATGGTGGTCAGGGAATTACATTTGGCCCTGGCAGAACAGAACACACCAAACAGAAAATCAGATGCCCACAAAACTAAATCAATTACAAAACAGAAGGAAGTTGAAAAGGATATGAGCAAAAAGAACTATTGGTTGTGTCATATGACTGGTGTTTGCTCAGAAAATGTTTTCAACACAACCTGGAGGGTCACTGACCTAGTGTCACACAGACCTGTGAGACACAAAGTTATGGCACTCCAGCAAGATCCATTACAGGAACTAAGCCTCACAAGGACCTGGACCCAAATGGACTTCATCACATCAGGGACAGATCACAGAATCCTTGCACTGGGAAGAGAGGCCTGAGACAGAGGAAAAACAGAGTCCTGCTAGATGCAACTTTTCTGAGAGCCTCTAAGTAATGAGGATAAGCACAAGTTCTCCAAACAGGAGGTGCTTGGTGTAATGAGGTGTTACCAGCTCCAACCATTTTGTTAGCCATACTTCGGAAGAACAAGTAGAAGCTGTTTCCATACTCACCACAAGGTAAGGAGAGCCGGGAGCCGTAGGAAGAGCTAAAAATGACAGACAGACAAGAGACAGCAAGAAGCACTCTTGCTCTGACCGGAGCATTGAGCTATGCAGGCTGGAAAGAAGCAGCCCAGTATGTGCTCACATTAACAGGTTTGAAATGATTTATACATGTTCAGGGGAGTGTTGCAAAAGCTGCAGCAGACAGTTCGGGGAAGATTCCTTCTCTGTGAAAGACAGAAGCCAAAATCAGCCAAGCAAAGCAACTACTCCTGGGCTGATCCAAAGGTGGTGACAGCACTGAAAACACAAACGCAACAGCACCATTACAGAATGCAGCTGCCTGCCAGCACAGCCAGAATGGGAGAATGGCTTCACTCCCTTGCAGCAAAGACAACAGATGAAAAAGGAAAACCACCACCATCAACAACACAAAAAACAAGCGTGCAGAGAATGGAGAGATGATGGGAGGCATTAGAGGTGATGCTGGGAGTTGTGTAAAAGATTATGGGTCACTTCCAGCACTTCAGTAACTCTCCACCCCTGACATCCAGGATGCAGTTATACCAAGAATCATTTAACACAGGAGAAAGTAAGAAGAAATCAGCATGAAGTATTATCCCATTCAAAGCATATCCAGCCCAGGGGGCAACTGAGAAATATATGCTGTAGTTGTGTTAGTTGTCTTTAGAAGGCTGCCTAATCTTGTGATTATTTACATTTGCAGCTCTGCCTGCTCAGATAATAAGAACAGCCAGGGTACCAGTTGATTGCCGGAGGAACTGTGGAGGAATTTTAATCCCAGACCCTCTGTTCCTGCATTGCACGGTTGGCAAGGTGTATTACTGCGGGCAGCTCAGCTCCCAGACACTGTCAGAGCCATAGGACTGGATTAGGTACACCAGTGATCCGATGCATGATGACAAATATCATGTTGCACAGTTCACCCAAAGTATGTGGGTATCTGGGATAAATATACACCTTGTCATCTGTTACACTGCTTAGGAAACTTGATTGCCTTTCTGCTTAACCTAGTATGGAAGGCTGTAGTTGGCAGCCTTCCTCCTTTCCACACCCTCTCAGGCTTCTAGGGACCAGAAGAGTCAACCCACAGGGTAAGAGGCCTCCAGCTAGCATATTCCTAGAAGCAAGATCAGGAGGCATGCTCTTCAGTGGAGATTTATGAGAACTCAGCATGCTTCATTTGATCTCCTAGGCTAACCTGCAATGAGGTCTAGGGGATGAGGCAGTGCAGTGGAGCTCTGCCCCATGAGACCTGCAGAACAAAACACAGTTAGAGGTGCTAAAGGGAGGGATGTTGGGGGTATTACCATTCCTCTCTACCTTCCAGATAAATCTACAGATGGACAGATACCTGACTTTTGGGGTCAGCAGATGTATGTTTATTGTCCCACTCTGCTCTGCACTGGTGCGGCCTCACCTTGAGTACTGTGTGCAGTTTTGTGTGCCCCAAAATATGGACATAAAACTATTACAGAATGCCCAAAGGAGGACTACAAAGATGGTGAAGGGTCAGGTCTGGAGGGCAAGATATGTGAGGAGTGGCTGAGGCCCCTTGGTTTGCTCAGCCCCGAGCAGAGCAGGCTGAGGGGAGGCCTCATGGCGGCCTGCATGAGGGGAGCAGAGGGGCAGGTGCTGAGCTCTGCTCTCTGGGGACAGCGACAGGACCCGAGGGAATGGCATGGAGCTGGGACAGGGGAGGGTCAGGCTGGGGGTTAGGGAAAGGGTCTGCACCCAGAAGGTGGTCGGACAGTGTGAAAAAAATAATAATAATAATAATAATAATAACCGGGGCGAACTGTCGTAGCCATCTCAGTGCCAAAGATCTGCATGTGCCCTCTCAGCCCCTCGCTGACCAAAGCCCCCAGTCCCCTTCATTGTCACTAGAGGTCAGTGCAAGCCCGGTGATGCCTCTGCTAGAATATATCATGTTTAGAGGCATGAGCGTCCCCATCCAAGGCCAGTGCTGTTTTGTCGAAGTGTAATTCAGAAATGGGAGCATGTCCCAGGCTCACTTGGCAGCCCTGAGCCAGGCTCCCTGCTAGCCTGTGGCACGTCATGTAGAAGAAGGCATGTCAGGGGCAGCTTGTCCCACATAAGAGGTAACATAGTGGGAATATTTATCACCAGTGAGAAA